GGTCAGATTGTTGTGACTATACCTAAGCAATAAAAATAGCTCTTTTTTTCTACTCCTCCAATCCATTTGCTATTCGGGAAAAGTTTGATGCAGAGTTTTTGCTGTATGTCTCAGAAGATCAAAGCTCGCTGAACGGTTGAAAAATTGGCATAAAAACAAACATCAGTGATGAGCAGCTAAGCCACTTACGCTTTGCAACTGATACTGCTTTCGTCGCGAACAGGACTCGCTAAATGATTGAGACTTGTTAATGAATTTTTTTTTTTTTGCAGTTTCCAATAACAGCACTACGAGAAGTGAAAATGTTGCAGAAACTGAAGCATAAACATATCACCGAGCTAATCGAAATATGTAGTAGCAGGGGTAAGTTTCATAACAGAAAATTTTTATCTTTCATTGATTGCATGTATGTACATGTGGTACTCGTCGACAGGGCTGATTGTCCACTTGAATGGCCTTCAAACTTTTATTGAGGTTACTTCCTTCCTTCTAGTTAGTTTTACTTTTCCTTCTACTGCTGCAACATTAATCTTTTTTACACTGACCTTTATTTCCTTCCCTTCCTTCTTCATCTTCTTTTGGTAATCTGCACGTTCTTTTTAATATAGAGGAATGGGGCACTGTACTGATGATTTTCATCCCATTCCGCACCGTTTCTGCCGTCTGTGTTTACGGCTCAGAGACGAAACACAGACAGGCTACCAAGTTACTGCACAAGAGAACGGGAGGCTTGCTTATTTGGGAGATCTAAATGCCACTTCCAAGTTTTCATTAATTGTCAAAATTCCTCCACGGTGAGCCAATAACACCATTGTGTTGCTCTCCACGGTGAGCCAATAACACCAAACATGTTGACACATAGAGGATTTCAGGCTCCCCTCCCCCCGTTCTTTTCCAACTTTGAAATTTTTGTAGCACTTTTATTGAAGAGCTTAATTATTAGAGATATAGCGCTTGCAAACCGAAGAAAAACTCTTAGGTCAGGAGAGTCACAAATGCGATCGAAATGCCCGTATATTTTAGTAACATTGAGGGGTCTATCATGTAAGCAGATTGTAGCAACCAGGTTGACCTTGAACGCCTATCTAATGAAAGGGACGCGATAGATGATAAGTCTGGATATTCACGGTGGTATCTACGTAAGTTTTATATATTTGAATGGCGCTGGAAACGTTTTCAGCATCATCACACAATCGTGAGCGTAGCACTTTCTATCTGGTATTTTCGTTCTGTGAGCACGATCTTGCGGGCCTTCTCTCCAACACCAGTGTTCGACTGTCGCTGGTGCACATCAAAACACTAATGAAACATCTGCTCGAGGGCCTTTATCAAATACATTTTGCCAAAATCCTCCATCGTGATATGAAGGTATCACATTTGCATCATTTTTGACAATATCGGAACAGCAGCAGATTCAAAAAGAAACTCGATGCAATAATTCCATGTTAGTGATGTTACTGAGAAACTATGAATTATTATGAAATAAGATTTCAGAAGTTTCAAGAAAAAATAACTTGCTACGGAGAACAAAGTTTCGCGTTTTCGTTAGCCAGCTTTCCAGTTCCCTGGGTCTTATAATTAAGAACGAGAAGTGTCGAGGATTTTGCACCTTACCAGCCTGACCCCCCTCCTTCAGACATCCATGCGGGCAGGCTTATTGAGCCTATCTTTTTTATTTTTGTATTTTTTTCAGTCATTTCCAGGCCTTATGCAAGATTTTTCAGGCCGCAAACGTATTAATCACGAAAGATGGCATACTGAAATTAGCGGATTTCGGCCTTGCTCGACCACTATTTTCAAAGTTACCTGGTCGGTTTTTACCCAGTCATGTCTTGCTTATATCCATTGGGTCGGCGGGTGCTTCTGAATCTCTGAATAGCTGTAATTAAAGTGGCAAAAAAACAATCGGCGACTTTGCAGTGATGGGCTACAGACTTGATTTACTAGCCTTTCATTTTTAGGCCAACCGGAGCATTGCTACACAAATCGGGTGGTTACACTGTGGTACCGACCTCCCGAACTGCTGTTGGGTGAACGACATTATGGGCCACCGATTGATATGTGGGGTGCTGGTTGCATCATGGCCGAGTTATGGACGCGAACACCTATTTTGCAAGTATAATTTTTCCAATTTCTGCACCTTTAGAACATATTATGTGGCAAAATCTCGTAGAGCCGTGAAATAACGCTGAAATTTTCCAGGGAGAAAGCGAGCAAAAGCAGTTATCCCTCATATCAAATTTATGTGGAAGTATTAATCCGCAAACATGGCGAGGAGTCGAAAATTTACCCCTTTATGGCAAAATAGAGCTGCAGCAGAATTTGAATCGCCGAGTTGTTGAGCGTTTAGAACCTTACGTTAGGGTAAGTTTGATATTCAACAACTCTATGTCGGATAGGTAGTGGTAATTTATGTAGGACCTTGATATTTTTTTTTCATCGATGCCTTGCTTCGTATACTTTCATCTCGGGTTTTTCAGGATCGTAATGCGCTAAATTTAATTGATAGCCTACTCGTTTTGGACCCGTCATCGCGCCTTAGCGCCGAACAAGCTCTCGACCACACGTTCTTCTTCACTCAACCGCACCCTGCTCCAGACGTCAAAGATCTAATGAGCACTATTACGGTGAGTCGATTTATTTAAATTATCTAAGATGTTAGTATCATTTTTTTTTACAGGAACCAAGAGGGTGGAGAAGTAGATAGAAAAGTCTAGGAAAAAGTAAAAAAAATCGAAAAATATGACTATCAGAAATCATCTCCACTCCTTCTAGTGACCTCAGATTGTAGCATTTTGATATCTTCAACAGCTTGTTTTCAATGTAAGCGCCACACACGCTTCCTGGTTTTGTTAGAGATGTTTTTCTACGGGTGGGGGTGGTGGGAGGGGATTACTTTTTACCAAAAATTTGAGTCAAACGATGCTGGATTTGTGGGGTTGTCGAATTTAAATGTGTCCTCCCCATTTTAAAGGCCCAGGCATTCCACTAAACTGTTTCACAGACTGTGCTCCTATAAGATGCACATTGTTCTGAATATAAGCTTTTGTTGCAGACGAGTCTGTTCGAATATACTGTTGGACGAGGTGCTCATACCGGGCGAGGTCGTGGTATGCACCATCAGAATCGCCAGAATAATCGACCCTCAATGGCATCGCAGGGCCAGTATTTTGATATGGTTTTCTGAACCAAAATTATTGCTTCTGTCATGATTTCCTCTCTGTTCATTTTTTAGTTGTGTGATGAAAGTTAAGCTCTCTAAGTTTTCTTTTTTTGAAGTGATATTTCTCCTTTCAACGGGGAACTGGCAGTGTCCCAACGGGCAATG